AATTCAATATGACCGAGAGAACTATGCAAGCGTATTATAGAAAATGCAAGAGGGAGAGCCCCGGAGTGGGGTGAAACTCAGGTCAGCGCGTCTAACAAATATTAAAATGTTGGAGGCGCTGGGGACACGCCTAGCTGTTTAACAAAGACTGACAAAGTATGGAGATTAATACGAAAACTTGCGGGTATCCGAACCGAAAACGCTCAGTTAGGCCTACGGCTCCCTGCAAGCTGGTAGCCAGCTATTCCTTAGGCTTTAAAAGGCAATCGCAGTGGGAGGGGGAGGAAAGGAAAAGGAAGAGATTTCCTATCGTGGGGGAAAAATAATCTTTGACATGGAGGAAGGAGAGATACGACGGAAGGATCCAGTTTTCCGGTTGGTGTTTCGGGTTCTTTTTATTGTGGTTGTGGCTGGACCGCTTGGGAAAGGCTGCGGCGTTTTGTATCCTGTCTTGCACGGGATGGTTATTTTTAACTGCGCGAACAAGGGGAGGGGGGTTGTAAACGCTTCAGTTTTTGTACCTTGGGGAAAGTGTGTGGGGAGGGGAGGGGAGGTATAGGAGTCGAAGGAGAAGACCTCCAGACTTTTTTTGCTCTCAATCCAGAGAAGGGTGCTGTGATTGCAAAAAAAAAGAGGCTCGATCCCTAACGCATTTCCTCGGAAGTAAGTCTATCCGTAGTAAACTGGAGCTGATCTGCTAGGTCAACGTGCAGAAAAGCAGCCTCGAACGCTGAGGCAGGCTCAGCAGTTACCTAGATGGGGGTCCTGAAAGTAATATAGAGGGGAGAGGGAAGTTCTCCTGCGCAAGCTCCCCCCCCCCCATTGCGAAGAACGGGATTAACGCGGTGATCATACCCAAGGTAGCCAGAAGATAACAGTTCTTAGTAGTAAAATAATATTGGCATATATTGGCAGGTGCTTTGAGTTTGATGTTGTGCGGTCAGGGGGGGGAACGGGACACACACATTACTGGGACGCCCGAGTAGCGTCCGAAAGGTGTGCACCCTCTGTGGCAAACCATTGCCCAGTCGTCCTTTCCTATCTTTTTGAACTTTGTTGTAGTATGTAAACAATGTATTGTGGGTCCCATCTGCTTGGAAACTCTGTCGTTTTAGGGCTTCATTAACTTGCCTCTTTGAAATGCAGAGAACGCCTGAGCTAAATCTGTCTTTGCAAACTTCCGAAAAGTTGAGACGTTTTTATTAGAGCAATTGAGAGTGGCCAAAACAAAACATGGGTGGTTGGGAGGGGGGGAGGTCTATCTTTTGATTTGGGGACAGCAGGCTGTTGTCCATGCCTCTGTGTGTGCGTGGTGCGCGCGCGGGGGGGACTTTTGGAGAGGGTGGAAAGAATCGAACATTTCTGCTAGACGCTAGGGGTGCTGGTGATACTGGGATGAAACCCCCCTTTGTCTATTTGCGCAAGGCATTCTAAAAAAGTGGCGGTGGCGCTTTAAATAAAAAAAAATTAGATAGAGATATATATAAATAAATAAAAGAGTAGGCCTAGCTATTCGTTTTCCCGAAAAACCCATGTCTTGAGACAAGACTGGATGGAATACAGATGAAACAGGAGAGGGCGGGGGAAATGAAAAATGGAAGCGATCAAGGTCAGGAGAAAGAGGAGAGCGGATGTCTCAAAGGTGTATAACTGGTATACCTTTGTGTCTGGTAGGCTTCGTGGAAGGAAAGTTCTTTCTCTTTCTCTGTGCGCACTGGAGTTGGCCTGCAACTCTGCAAAAGTGCCCTTAGTCCTAAATTTGGTAATGATTCCCACTGAAACAAATTATTCCGAGTATGGTGCGCTTTCAAGTCGGACTTGTCTCTGTTCTTAGTAGACAAATCTGCAGCTGAGATCCCGAATTTCCTGTGTTGTCGCCCGACAATATATTAGCCCCACTAAAACAACCGAGGCAGTTATGGGTTCCCCCCGCCCGACCGGGGTGGCGCACTTTACAAATAGTTTGCGACATATTAGTTGAATTAGACGGTGCACCTGGTGAAGTGCATGGAAGGTGGGGGTGGTTGAATCCCGGGGACCTCGTTACTGACTTGAAAGCAAGCCCTATTGAAATCAGCAGCTCTTACTTCCATGTAAATACGTTTAGGTTTGGGATGCCCGTGTTGGAAAAATGATGCCTTCAGTGTTGGAGGGTGGGCTCGCACGGTCCATTACCTGGAAGTTGGAGATTTGGATTCCAATGGCATGGACTCTCAAGGGTATAGGCTTAATATGGCATTATGAATTAAAACACAAACGCCTTGTCTGTTATCTAACCAGCATCTGTTGTTGTAGGAAGCGGGTGTAGAGACATGAATTAACGCAGCCTTCTTGCCACGGGTTTGGTTGTTTGGGGGAGGAAGGAGGACAACAAGAATGTGGCTGCTTTGACTTTTTCCAAACTATTTTTTGACTCATGTGGGAGGCTGGACTCGAAACACGTGCGTTTCTTCCTCCTTCGCTCCCCGGCTAAACGGTTTAAAACAGTAATTACCAATAACCTCTTGCCTATGGTAGTATATTCGATACATAGGAGAAACGAACTGTCCTCACTAATAGGGCCATAATCTATTGCTCTGCTCTGATACAGTTTCATCCAGCGTGAAGACACCTCATAGGTAGTCCAGTGCCAACTGCTGAGTAAATAATGAACAAACTGTTCTACCTGACGAAGAATTATGTGTAACCCGAAGGATTCCCTATTCCTACGCTAAAATAATATTGGGACCGCTTTCCTTTCTTTTAATTTTTTAAAAAACCGCAACACGAATTCCAACGCGTCTCATTTTTCCAGACCAGCTATCTACATAAAACCGCGCTGCTCCCGACTTCCTGCCGCAAAAGGTTCATTACTTACACAAACTGCATATTTTATTGCTTTATATCCCCCTTTTTTCGGAAATGAAATCCCTTTGATCCTCCCCCCATTCCTCTTCCCTAGGGTGAAAAGGGATGGAATTGCCCTATGTGTGTTGGGGGAGAGCCACACCCTGTTTTCCTGTTTGTATTTGTATTTGTTTTAAGATCTCCCTCCCTAGAATGAAATAATATACGTGCCTACTCAGAGTTAAGCCCCATTGCGTTCAGTGGGACTTACCCCTGGGTAAATGTGTGTTAGACAACCAAATTATCGGAATAAGCCTAATGTTATTCCTTATTACAACGAAATCGCGCGAACAGGGTCGTTCTAGTTCTAATTAAACGATAAATCTCACTGAAGTGGATTGGGAGTGACTTTGTTTCTGCTTAGATCCTCCAACAGACTTTCCTTCTTTCCTTCCTTCCCTCCCAACTTTTCTGGACTACCTTTCTGCAACAGTATTCCTTCTGCGGAGGAAGAAGCAACAGTGGATTACGCGACAGAGTTGGGCTAACAGCCACGCGGTTTTGCGACGCGTGTTGCAAGCAAATATTTCCAGACATACCTTCCTCCTGAAAAACGGATTATTTGTTTTTTATTTAATTTTATTTCGCCCACCTTTCCTCTTCGCTGTAAGCCAAAACGGAAGACTTCTAGCCAAACTCAAAGGAGAATCTCTCTCTCTGTCTTCTGTATGTACCCTGTAGATCCGAATTTGTGTAAAAGAAGCTGCGTCACAAATTCGCATCTAGGGGAATATGTAGTTGACACAAACGCTACGGAACGCATCCCTCAAGACGAAGAAGGAGGAAAAGAAAGGGAGAGAAAAAGGAGACGCAAATCGTAAAAAGACTTCCCCATCAAGGACTATTCCGTGTTGGTGGTGTGTTGTTTTAATGGCAGTGGGTCCCCCCGCCCCGCCCCCATCTTTTAAGCATCCAGACAGGTTGATTCAAATTATCGGGTATCTTCTGCGGAACAGGAAATGCGCAGGGAGAGAACAGAACAGTTCTTCCCTTCTGTGTTCATATGCTTGCGGAAATTGTTCTAGAACCATTCCTTTCTGTAAATAGGGCTGAGAGAAAACAGGTCTCTAAGGATTACCTGTTTGGTGCCATCTGTGCGCAGGCGCCACTCAGCACTCAGAAGAGACAGGTCCCTGCCCCGAGGGCTTCCAAAAGGGGTGGATACATTGCGTCTTAATGAAAATGGACATTTAGGAGACAGACAGGAAAATTCAGGGTATGTTCCCTTACTTCAGTACTACATTAAAAAGCTATTTATGCAACTGGATATTTTTTTTTATCCATCGTATTGTAGACTAACCCTAACTCTTCCTGCTCCTCTGTCTCCATGCTTTTTAAAATATATTTTCTCCTCCTGGCCGGGGTGGGGGGAGAACCAGTCTAAACCAGAACCTGTCTTTTAAAGGGATGGGTAACCCGAATTAGTTAATGGCGTTTCTATCGATCTCAAACGAGCTCTATCTATCTTTGCCACCGGCCGGGCTCTATCACCAAAATTTAGGCAGGAGCTAGAAGATTAATGCATCATAAACCGAGGAGAATATTTCCTTTCCTCCCAGTCTCCTAGTTGTTCAGACTACATGTGTTGTTATTTTGCTTTTTTTTACTTCGAGGCAAACTCTGCCATGGGGAACCGTGTGTGTACACTCTCACATGCACGCTCGCCAGTATCGACAGTGATTTTAATTCAGTCAATGCACCGGGTGGGGGCACTTGGATTTTGTGGTGCCTTCTTGGCTATGGAATGATAGATTTCTTCGGGATATGAAATTATATAAATCCTGATATTTAAAAAGTAAATAATGATAACTGTTCCGCAATGCTGAGTCCCGCCTAGGTTCCTGAGTGCATTTATATGTAAAGTTAAGTCCAGTTTACTTTAAAACAACCTGCTTCCAAGTTGACTATGTGCGGGCAACGGAAAGGCTAAAAGCGTCCTCCCCCCTCCTTCCCCCCTTCTTGATTATTTCCTTATCCGGGAATCCCAGGCAAACCTCTCCATTGGTTCCTGGGGTCACATGGACATCTAACTTTGTTCAGTTGACGGCAAAAGTAGGAGGGCTCTTCGAAACAGGAAAACGAGTGAGAAGGGGAGGGGAAGGAAGGGAGAAGGGGGAAGGGGAGGGGGCCCCGAAAGAAATAGGAATAAATTTTAGTATATTTTTTGGGGTGTGCGTGTGTGTGAGTGAGCGGGAGTGTGCGTGCCGGCGCGCGCGCGCCCTTTTGCAATTCCAAAATTAATGGCCATGAGTTCGTTCTTGATCAACTCCAACTATGTGGACCCCAAATTCCCACCATGCGAAGAATATTCCCAGCACGATTACCTTCCCAGTCATTCTCCGGAATATTTCGGCGGCCAGAGGCGAGAGGAGAACTCTTTTCAACCCGAGGCGTTGTACCCAGCGCGGTCCGCCTGTAACCAACCATCCTATCCTCCATGTCAGGGCTCTGGGCACCCGGCATCGGTCCTGTCTCCCAGGAGCCAGCGTGTCCATGCTCCAGCTGGACTTCAAAACCATCTCTCCGAATCAAACCACACTTGCGAATCCATCACGCCAAGCCCACCGCCTTCCTGTAGCCAAAACTCTCTCAACCAAAGCCCGTCCTCTTGCAAAGAACCGGTAGTTTATCCTTGGATGAAGAAGGTTCATGTTAGCACGGGTAAGTGAACCTTAAAGTGCCGTTCGCTTTATACTAACCTGCACCTCAAAGTCTTGTTGGGAAGAAGAGAGAGAGAGAGAGAGAGAGAGAGAGAGAAAAGCTTATTGCCCCCGTTGTAAAAGAACCATTCCCCTTGGAGATTTATGGTCTCCCTGTTTGCAGAGCGCTATAATTACATCCTCCATAAATTTTTATTGCTCTTCTTGGCCAACTGCCTTTGAAGTCCCTGTTAACATCCTCCTCCAGTTTCTTTCTTTCCTTCTTTCCCTTCCTTCCTCCCCCCCCACCCCCGTCCTTTATTCTTTCCTTCCTTTCCTTCCACTGGAGAACGTTCCCCAGGAAAAGTTTGAAGGAGGTACGGGCGTCTTTTATTTTCATTGTCGGCTTAAATTGTATTGAAGTAGAGAGTTTCAGCAAACTTCTCCTTTGCCTTTCTCCAAGGCTGGGGGTTGGGGGGGGTTGTTTGTTTTAAGATGGTCCCTTCAGAGCAACGTTTCAGAGAAGGATGTCTCGTGGGTTTCAATGGGAATGACTTCCCAGAGGGGGGAAAGAAGGTTGCTTGTCTTACGATCGAGGGGTTTGTTTGTCTTACATGTGGGGCAAACTTTATAGAACTTTGAGGTGCACAGGCAACTCCTCCGTACACGTGCAGGAGCCTTAGGCAGCTCGCTAGCTTGATCCTCAAGACGCTTAAGTCGGTGTATTTTAATTTATGCCTATTTAGCGACAGCGATTTGACTGTATTTAGTTCAACCCAAGCATTAAGGCTAAACTGAACTGCAGAGCAAGTTGTAGATCTATTTCGCACTCAAGACTCTGATGCATTATTAGGGTTCTGATACGCATATATGCATTCGGCCTTCCTTCTGTCTCTTCACATTTAGTTACCCAAAGGCTAGTAACACTCAGAGGCTGTAAAACGGAGTGCAGGGCTGTTACGTGATGTTAGGGTTCATAGCTGAATGCAACCCCCTCCTCGTCTCGCTATCACTCTCGTCCTTTCTCACCTAACACTGTGATCTATCCTCTGGAGTAACCACAATGATTCCAATGGGATTACTCTACACTGCCGTTTAAGCTTGGAGGACTTAGGCGACCTCTGGACCAGGAGAACAGCCTGGCTTTTAATAGATTGGTGGTTGTTTGGTTTTTTAAAAAGAGCTGTGTAAGGCTTAACATAGATGCAGCGAAGCAGGAAGGTAGACGCGAAGATCTAGGCAGTGAATGGGGTGCATTGGGAGACACTGGGTGGGAGGAAAGGTCAGACAGGGAGACACTCGTTCAAGCGATCAGAATCAACCTTGTGTAACCCTCAAAGTTCTAAAAGTAAACTCTGGATACACCCACAGGAATGGCTGGCATTCGGGCAGTCCAATCCTATGCCTCTTTACCCAGAGGTAAGCCCCGCTGAGCTCCCCTCCTGTGTGGATAGATATTAGAGACTTACAGTCCCACTGAGTTCGATGGGACTCATTCCTACGATCGTTTAGATGGGAGCAAACACGGTTAAGCTTCGTGGGACTTCCTTCCCACGGGTCTCCTTTCCGAGTAGGAGGTAAAGATCCAGGCTCTTAGAGCGTCGCTGGGGGAGGGGTGTGGTTTGGGGGACTTGTTTTGTAAAGGGCTGTGGCGTCTTCCAGGAGCCTTTTTTTCCAAGAGAAGCTCGTGGTTTCTGTTTCGTTTTAAAGGGGCAGAAGAAGAGTAACGCTCCCCACCATCTCCTCCCCCCCCAACCCTGCTCCCCTCCCTGTTCCTGCTCTCTTTCTCTCTCCCCTGCCCCACTCCTCCTTTTGTGTTTCTACATTCAGTCAACCCCAACTACGCGGGAGGGGAGCCGAAGCGTTCCAGAACAGCATATACCAGGCAGCAAGTCTTGGAGCTGGAGAAGGAATTCCACTACAACCGCTACCTCACCCGGAGGCGGAGGGTGGAAATCGCCCACTCGCTTTGCCTGTCCGAGCGCCAGATCAAGATATGGTTTCAAAACAGGAGGATGAAATGGAAAAAAGACCACAAGTTGCCCAATACTAAGATCCGTTCCAATTCTGCAGCCAGCCTCTCGGCGCAAGGCGCGGGAGGAGGTGCCCAGGACCGAACCAATGGACCAACCCCAAACCCCACCGCCACCCCGACCACCGCCACCCTATAACTGGCCTTTGAGCGTGGCCGCCCGCGAGTGTGCGTGTGTGTGTGTGCAGATCTGTGTGCTTAAGAACTGATGTGTGAAAGGGAGGGAGGCCTGGTAGTTTTCCTGTTCCTGAGGGAGAAACATGGGGGCGTATGGGGGGAGGGGACAAGGGGGTGGGTGAACTGGGACCACTATTTATACGAGGGGAGAAGAAACAAAGAAGGATGAGAGGGTTGGGGGTTTTTTTGCGGGGGAGGGGGGGATTAGTTCTTTGGCCGGAAAGCAGGGTTGCCGTGTTTGGGGGGGGTAGCTCCTCTGTTCTATAGGAGATGGGGTTTTCAGATTTGGCTAAGATGGATCCCTTTTTCATCCTTAATCAAGCCAAACTCGGGCCCATTTGTCATGTTTACTCTCGCGTACAAACGAAGGACCTTATGCCAACCATTAGCGCGACAGCTAGAGTCGTCTTTAATAAATGAGGCCCGGTTTCACCTAAGGAGAACTGGACTCTCTCTCTCTCTCTCTCTCTCTCTCTCTCTCTCTCTCTCTCTCTCTCTCTCCTTCCTTTCGAACACCCGCTTCTTCCACCCTACCCAGCCCACTAGCCAGAAACCCCAGTTTAAACCCAGCCATTTACCCCCACAAGGCGACAGAAAAGTGTTGTTGGCATCTGCTAAACACAGCTCTAGATAGGAGAGGGATTGGAAAGGGGAAAATAGAATTCTCACAGCCCTCTAAGGACTTTATTGGATGATAAATATTGTAATATTCCAAGTAAGGAAGGGCATCACGCGGCGGCTGCGGCGGGGTGGGGGCGCGGTGAGAATCGGGGAAGGACACAAAATTAAAAAAAGAGGAAGAAGCGATGTAATTTAAAGGCGGCAGGGAAGTACTTCAGGTTAATTATCTAACCTGGAAGACCTGGAAAGCGGAGAAGGGCAGTGCATTTCAGTCTATAAACTTGATTATAGCATAAGGCCATCTGGGTTCCAGCAGCCATGAAAATGGAACGGGGGGGGGTTGGTTCCTTTGTAAATAAGGATGCGCCTTCGCTGCCTTCGCTTCAGTTTTTGAAATGAATGTGAAGATAAAGATGAATTTTCAGGAAATTCCCCAGAGAAGTAAGGCGTGAGGAAAGGAATATGGGTATTCTCTGCTCTCGCTTTCTCTCTCTCTCTCTCCCCCCCCTTTCCATCTCTCTCTCTCTCTTGTCCCCCCTCATTCTCTTCTCTCACCCTTCTCTCTCCTATACTGTATATGACATTCCGAAATGGTGTGATTCCAGAGAACTTGAGGGAGGGGGGGATATAACACTCCCCTCCTTTCGTTCTGTATAATTACCTCTTGTTGTCTTGTGTGATACCCATAAGAACATGTATATAGCAGCAGCCACGGTGGAAAAAAAACAACAACCCCGAAATAAAGCATTTATGGTGAATACGGTTGTCCGTGTCTTTCAGGGTATCTGAAATAGTCGCGACACTATTCCTTTGTTCTGATACTTTTGCAGACCCCTTTTCGATTCGACCAGGTTTTTATTGTTGTCAGTTTCCAAGCCTGCACTCCTCTAATGGAAACAAAAGATGTTTGACCATAGGGTATATCCTCCTTAACTACAGCTAAGCCTTATATGAGGTGATTTATTTCCTCTAAGCATGCATTAATGTGGTTACATTTTGCTTTCCAAACTGGTTCAAACTAAAATAGTAGTCTGATCGTTAAATTTCTACCTGGATGTTGAGACTATAAAGCAGCAGTGTGTTTTCCAAGAGATGTTTCTTCTCTGTCCTTTTATTTTCTCCCCCCCCCCCCGTCCCGAGAAAAGCTACCTTCTTCAAAGTATTTAATACATTTAATGACCATAATTTTTGCACAGATGTTTCTCGGTGTTTGCAGGTTTTCTGTGTATTTTTATATTACAAAGGAGCCAGCCGCTGCAATAGCTCAAACTCTGACAAGCAAATAGATAATCAAGAAGACAAATGACTTCTTTTGTGCTCCATAGCTCTTGTATTAATTTTCATTTTCTTTCTCATACAAAGTATCGAAAATACTGTTTAGGACGAAATAGCATTCCAGTTCTAAGTTACAAATTTTGCGTGTGTGTGTGTGTGTGTGTGTTTGGAGACGGATTAGAGACCATGCAAAGAAAACAGTAATTTTCTCTTTTAAATTCCCTACTCCTGTCCCTAATACGGTCTTAACACGGTTTGTACCTTGGGGCAAAATCCAGCGGGATGTTCTCCTGCAAACGCTCCATTGCAATGGAGGTCGTATTCATTTCAGTGGAGCGTGTGCAGGAGAAGCTCCTGCTGGGTCTTGCTTTGAGCAGTGCGCAGGAAGTAATTTCCACATGAAGGTTAAAATACTCCAGGAACCTTCCCTTAGGCCACTTGCGATCCATTACTCAAATCGTGTGTTACGTTACTGCTTTATTGTACTATCAGAACATATATCTCGATGGGGTTGATACCGATGGCCCAATCCGCCATGCTCACTGTGAACTTAATTTTAATGCGTGTGCATAACCTCCTCTTCCACATAAGATGGCAGACTCTTTCTATGGGAGTCAGTGCAAAAAATAAACAGACGAAAACAACCTTATTGATTTTCACACCACCTCGGATTCACAACCCCTTTTACTGTGGAACAACTCCTTAAAGCCATGAGAGTGATTGTAGAGCAAATGGCTTGTTGTGGACAAGCAACCACTGGCCACGATCCACTCTTCACCTAATCCAGGATTTTTTTACGATAGGGCTACTGCAGAATGAATCCAAGGCAGCCAACACTGGTGTGATCTGAGCTTCTTTACTTGAAAGTACTATAAATTGAAATGAATGGGGTTAACTTTCGAGTACAGTACTGCGATGCTTGCAGGATGTCCTGTGACAACAGCGGCCTTGCAACGCAGCACCTAAGAACTTGGTGCCAATAATTTTTTTAGTACCTTCGGTTGGTTTCTAGTCCATATTCACCTTACAGCAGACCTTAGTGGGTCGATACTTGAGGACACCATGTGAATTAAGCCCTTAGGCATTTTGCTGTTGTTTCTTATGATGCACGAAAACTACCTCCTGGCAATGAGGACTTGGGGGACACTTGCCAGTAAAAAAAAGAAGGGTGTTGTTGCACGTGTATTTCCCTAATCTATGCCAGGATTTTTATTTAGTTTTACGCGGAAATAAGTTTGATTTTTAGGAAGCTGGAGATAGTATCCCTCTCCCAATGGCTACGTTTCCATTGATTTCAGTGGTGCTGGGGGGGGCATGTCTCTTGCGCTTTTCAGGGTTACTTCAAGGCATTCCCTCTCTCACATACCCCAAACAAAACTTTTAAAAGCATATGCTGGTAAGAATGTAGCTTCTATAGAGCCAAATCAAAGCTGGAGAGGGTGAATAGGATTTGGGGTGGAGATTTCTATAGGCCCTAAAAGTTCACAAGCATTGTAAGCAGACAGAAGCTGAGAAAAATGTGAGAATTATACCGAAAAAATCATTAATCATTTCTTTTATTCAAATACTTATCCTTTTCCTATTGTTATTCAACAGCAAACCTCCGCAGACCTTCTGTTGGGAAAAAAAGAGTACCCAGGAGCCTTGAATCTTTCAAGATATCTTCAAGAGAAAATATATATCTATATATTAATATATATAGATAGATAGATAGATATACACACACACACCTCTATATATCTATACATATTCAAACACACAGACACTTGAACTTTTTTTTTTTACTTTTCACTTTTGTAAAATGGAAGACTCTACTTCAGACATGAACACCACCTTTAACCGCCTGGAGAAAAGATGTGGGAAGCTAAAAAGGTAAAAAAAACAACCCCAAACATTGTGTGTGTGGGTTTTTTTAAGGCTCGGCTTGTTCTTTTGAAATTATATATTGCTTCGCTTTTAAGGATGGAGGGGGCGGGGACAACATCAAATGCTTTCTGCTCTTAAAAACGTGCCCTGGGAAGCCCGATTCTATGCAGCACGTTTACTCGAAGTAAATCCCACTGAATTGAATGGTCTTACACCCAAGTAAGTGTCCATAGGGCTGCAACCTTAGATGAGTTTGCAGCCTTAAGAGGAAGCCCTTCCTGGTGGTGGTTGTTGTTTTAAAAGAAACAACACATGGAGTTATAAAGGCGGGGAAAGAAAGAAAGAAAGAAAGAAAGAAAGAAAGAAAGAAAGAAAGAAGAAAGAAAGAAAGAAAGAAAGAAAGAAAGAAAGAAAAGACTGCTAATAAGAGATGTTTTAAAGGAATTTTAATGGTTTGCTTTTTAAATGTGTTTTTAACATCTGGGCTTTTGTGAAGAATGCTTGTTTATTTTCTAATGACAATGTGGGTGAGGGGGGGCAGGAGACTGGGTACTAGAATAAAATAGGTGCCTGTTCTAAAAGGGCGTCCTGCCTTTATTTTTCCGTGGGTTTGGAGTAGCTGGGAACCCTCACACTGTTGTTCTAGAACTCTTTATGCCAGGGGATGTTGTAAGGATAATGCAATGTTACATATTCCATAACTGCAGATAATACAGAGGAGGCGTGGCTACTTAATTTTTGATTTTAAAATATTGCCTTTGGTATTCATGCGCGGGTTTTTGAAGGTTCGCCATCAGATGTGTGAGTGAAGAGGTTGTCTGAGCGTCCGTCCATGATCTATCCATCTGCATTTCAAGGTGGGGGGGGGGGAGAAGGTTTATATTAGAAGAAATGGAGTTAAGATCTGACCCTGGCGAGCTGCGGAGTGAGGATGGAGTTCATCCAAGGGACACGTTTTCTAAGCGATTAGCCTGGTATTGCAGCTACAGAATGACCCCTCAAAACCCCTTGACCTTTTCAAGACTGGACATTGTGCTCGGTGGCATTGCTCTCACGGAAACAGGGGCGGGCTAGAGCAAACTCCGGAGGCAAACGTGAAAACGAGAGCAATACAGAGAGCCAACCAACCTCTGGTTTCCTTAGTCTATCGGTTTTCCTTTTGTGTGTGTGGGCGCCTGGCTTTTTTCTCCTCCTCCAGTCCGGTTATCTTGTCGGAGGCTATGGCTTTTTGTTGTTGCTCATTCCCTAGCTTTCTTTAGGGCTCACAGTCCAGCAGGTAGTTCTCCTGCGCAATCCTCCTTGAAATGAATGGGAGATGGCCTAAATTTTGGCCGGTTTGATGGATTGGCTTTGAGGCTGCAATCCCATACACGCCTAACCTGAGAGTTGGTCCCCTTTGACTTGCTTCTGAGTAGGCATGCATAGGATTGCATTGTCATCGTGCAGTCCCCCATACTTTTGGTCTATTGGGTTTTCGTTTTAAATAGGTGCAATCCCTGTGTGGCAAAGTACAGTGACTATTATTATTTTTACCACAGTCTTCATCAGTGGTGGCTGTTGTGGTAGTAGGAGCCTAGCCACTTTTTTCTGCTTTTACACCTTCTTCTTCCCTGGAAGAACAATGAGCAGTATGCTGATATACGTGGTGTTCAGATTAATTTCTGAGTCCCTGGTGCCTAGATTTGCTGTGTGACTCTAGGGTGACACCCATATTTGCTGAAAAAGGGAACCTGCATGCGCACCATAGAGCAAAGTTTGTGTAAAGCATGCACACACAAATAATTATGCATTTGTTAAGGGTTCTGGGAACTGCGACTTTGTGAGTGGAAAACTACAGTTCCCATGATTCTTTGGGGGAAGTCATGTGATTTAAATGTGATTTATATGTGTGCCATGCATGCAATGGAAAGGTGGGGTGACCAGGCCATGAATTCGGCACCCCTCCTTTCCTGTTTCTCATCTTCACCCCCTTCCTCACATTCTTTCTACCTTTTATTCAAGGCAAGCTAATGTCATAACAGCAGTTAGCAACGCTCACTGGTAGATGGGTTCAAAGGCTCTAAGAAAAAGCAAGGAGCCCTTTACAAAAGGTGTCGTTGATGGGTTCCTTGATAAACAAGTTTATTTATTGGGCTGGAGGAAAGCACCTTAAGGCTGTAATTCTACATGCCACTTACCTGGGAGTAAATCCCATTTAGTTCAATGGGGCTTGCTTCTGAGAAGACATGCATGAACTCGCACTGTTATTCTGTTAAAATGGCTGCCTTGACCTTCTTTTGTCTTCCTTTAGGTATTAGGCTTCTCTCTCCACCCCCCCTTCCCCCTGATAAATTTCAAGCATTTCTTGTAATGATTTTCTAGAGATCTTAGATCACCATACATTGTGGAATATTCAGGCCCACTAGACTTCTTCAAAAGGAAAATGCAGTGTTATGATGACGTTTTCTTTACAGCGACTTGGAGAGGACCCTGACTTTACATGGAAATGAAATTTTGTGCTCAGGAGCGACTTTTCCTTCATGTTACCCTGTTGTAAATATATCAGAAGACCCATTTATACCACCCCACCTGCAGCCTTCTATAAGGTTGAGTGAGGACATGAACCACAAAGTGGTCCAGAGGCTGAATATTTCCCCCCAGATGTGGACATTTCATCTTCATCTCCAGCTCACTTAAAACCTGAGTACTGGCATTTAGATCTGTTTAAAGGGAAGCCAGTGGCACAAACTGGGCCTCAATCTACTCTAAGTGGTTTGTGGACCTGTCTGTCCAGGCTCACCAGAAGGAGATCTCTGTCACCCTTTGCAAAATGTTTACTTTTGGTTGTGCAGTTGGACTGTTATTTAAATCTCAACCACCAAGGGTGCTGGGTGGTGGCTGTTGTAGCAAGATCCCACCCTAAAGGCCCCAGGTTTCCGTAGGCAAAGCAGTATAGGTGCTAAACACTGCAATGAGGTCTCCATCCTAATAGCGCAAGGTGGCCAGCTGTTTCCTGAGCTCCCCATCCCAGACTAGTTATATATATATTTAATATATTATTTTGGTGGATGGTAAAAGGAAGAACTATTGGTGTTAGACAACTGCATAAGGAGAGCTTAGGGGAGCAGAAGGTCTACTGTGAGATATAGAACATGGCATTTGTTTGTATGTACAGTATGTATGTAGGTATCTGCTTCTTTCTGGTGGCTCATCTTCTTTGTACTGGTGCAACATAGATTTGTATTTAACAACAAACATGCACAGCAGTGCACGTGTGAAAACGCCACCTGCAGTTGTGTGGTCTGAAAGCAACTGCGCCTACTGGCTGCCCTGTATCCTTCTTTAAAAAGAGGTTTTCCCTAGTCGCAGATGGGCTGAGCCGGTGATTTATTTATTTAGTGGCGAGGCCAAGGCAGTCTGCACATGCTCTGAGACTCTCTCTCTTCCCCCCTTCTTTATTCTACACATGGTTATTTCTTCGTATTATTTCCACTATTATCAGTGCATGTACATATAAACCCTGTCTTTATCTCCTTATCTCCCTTTTCTTCTCTCCGTGTGTTCCTTTGTCTACACACAAGTTGCACGCACGCGGGTGCGCGGGCGCAAACACCCTCCCACAAACCGGATCTATGTTACAACCCTTCTACCTTTCCCTTTGGAAACGTCCCTTTCAATGACAGAGAAAGAGGCGTGGATCTTAGCTGGCCAGGGGAGCGGAGTTTGGGAGCTTTCTCAGTTTGATCGGTAGCACCCTGGCAGATTTATGATCCCCAATAAAACCGGCGTGTTTAAATTCGTAAATCAATCTGCCTTTCCCGCTATATAAACGTTCATTTTATCTTGAGAGAGAGAGAAAAACCCCGCTCGGTTTCTCGCACCTACCAGGGCGAGGAGAGGCGCTTCCTTTCCTTTGAACTATAGAAGACAGAAACATCTTTTTAAATCAAAGTTGTTCTTTTTTAACAAAAAAAGGGGGGGAGGGAAGGAGGGGGAAGCAGACGGATTTTTGTTTCCTTTGCAACCCAAGGATTATAGACATGTTTTCTTTTCTGCTCACTTTTCTTCTTCTTAAGAAATATATATTTTTATAAATATCACTTTGCCTCTCTTTTAATGTCTCCGAGCAATCCGCGAGGTTTAAAAAAAATCGAAATCTTATTCTGGCTCTCTCTCCATTTTTCGCTCCTCTGTAATTTTTTTTTAAAATCAGTTGTTTAAGTGGGCCAAAAAAGCCCAACTTTTTATTATTATTATTCAGCAAGGTCTCCTCACGGCAGTGAACACTTGCAGTCAAACCCTCTTCTTTCCCTTCGCTGGCTTCGAACCATTTTAAGATTTCTCCCAAACCCCTTTCTTCTACGATAGCAGGCCCCACTGATGGCAGTGGGATTTCCTCCCAGTATTTAGAATGGGATGCAGCTGAAAAATCAGCGGGATTTGCCGGGGAGTTATGTTAGAGCAAAACCAACGAGCCCTTTCTTGGAAGTACGTTCGAACGAAAGTCAGAATGACTTGCAATGTTCCCATCGAACAAACCCATTGATTCGCTTGGCAAAAGGGTCCCGACTGATTTATCCTGGAAGATCGCAGCTTTTACTTGTAAGCAAAGGCGTTTGGGATCGAACCGCGATTGTTTTCTGCCGTTACGCTTCCACCCCAGAATACTGCGATTAAGATTTGGGGTGGGAAACACTAGCCGTGCTGAGAATTCTGCATTTTTGGATTTGATTATTATTTTTTCACACACACACACACACACACAAAATACACCTGGCTTCTTTTTTCTCCTTTTTTTAAAAAAGAAAAGCTTTGCACCCGTATCTTCGGTTTCATGCAGTTAACGCTACATCTGTTACTAAGGTCTGAACAAACCTACCCACCACAATCCTTTTGTTCTACAAACCCCACGGTCAGAAAGACCTGGAAACAAATGTTGTCGATCTCTCATTTATTCCGATCTAAAATGTTTTGCTCCTGCGCATAATTGATGTGAGGTTTATACTTGTCGAAAGCGTTCAGAATGG